AGAATTCCGAGGAAGCAAATAAATGTGGTATATGTAAAAAATATGAAAATGCACGATTTGATGAAAATGTGCAGAGTGGATCTTGGCGCCCTTACTAGCCTCAGACGAATAAGGCAATGCACGCTCTTCCGCGTTTTATCAACAATTAGCTTTATATGTTCTGAGCAGTACAGATCTTGAGACATAACGACCCACAGATATTTCTTAGACTTTATATTTTTAAATTCAACATAATCAATTTTTAAATGAACGTCATATTGAAATAAAAGCTGAAAATTTCTCATATTCCTCGTTTTGTGACACATCTAAGGCATTACATATCAGACGAACTTCCTAAGAAGCAGGATAGGTCATTTTGGTGAATAGTAAGTGAAGAGATATTAGTAATAGCAGTGATGTTTGTTGTGTCATCTGCGCATTTAATGAAACCTGAAGAGACCATGAGACTCAGGTCGGGAAGATGTGGAAGAGGGGAAATAATATGACATCTTGCAGCAAGCAAAGTGATTGTTTTGAGGACTGGAGAGGCACAGAATACGCATTGTTGAGACGATTGATTTCGGCTTTAATTGGCGTTTGAAGGTAGCGACATGATGAAAGTTTGCGTCCTTTATGCAGCTTTGCTTTCCTTTGTAGGAGGTGAATTTGAGAAATCCCGAAGAGATACGCCATTGACTGATAAATACTTCTTCAGGTGAACAACATTTATTGTATGTAAGGGTGGTATGGAAACTAATCACATCCACTCACTGCTGAAAGTTGACGTCCTCGAAGACTGACATGTCAGTTTCTTAGAGATTGAGCGCATATTTATTACTTATACTTTTTCATGACGACAACGTCATGGAATGTGGCGAGAAAAACAGAGGGAATTCTTTCCAGTGCGTGGGAAACCATCATTGGGTTGTGCAGTGGTCTGAGTCAGACAATAGAGCAAGTTGTCGTATATGATAATGATTACTTACGTTCATGAAAATACCATTCAGTTTGTTATTTGGACGAGTATGTAACATTACAATAACAGATAAACCAATATGTTCCGGGATAGTGCCGTTGTGACGATTATCTCCCTAAACCACCAGAAGATTATCAGTCGGCGAACAGGCGAAACGAGAAATTAAAATGTGATGAAGCAAATACAAAGACTCCTGATGACAGCTTGAAGCTATATACTGTGTTGCATAACTATGCTTTCCGGAAACGTTTAAAAATTTCGACTTACAAATGACAACATGGCACTCGATTCCCTGAGAAATGTGAGAAAATCACTCGAGGATTTGCACATCACGCGTCGCTGATCCGCGTGAAAAGACCACTACCACGAGTAGCCATTTGATGAATAATAAAAGCTGTGAATCCTACAGATCCGTAAACAGATTGTAAAGGCCTCCAATAAGCCAAATCTCCTGACATTAAATCGTTCATGATTTTGATAAGTTGAGGCCAATAAGAAATATACGATCGTCAGATCTGTTCGTAGGAGAGGGAGAATTAAAGCAAACGATGGATAGAAATGAGGGTTTCTTCTTCAGAGCAACTCATCAGCCGGCTCTAGATCGGCGGACCTTCAGAGGTCTTTTGGATTTGCCTCGTATTATATGAATTTGCTTTGCAATTTCCAGCGTTCACAGATAAGGTAAGAAAGCGCTGAAAGCATGCTTGGATAGAGATACACAGCGAAGTGAGAGAAATGTCGACAAAAGCGTAGGAAAACAATTAAAAGCCTTGCAAAAGCCTAGTAACTTCGAGAAAGCAGAAAACAAAAGCTCCACCGCTTACAGTAAACGCGATAGTCAAGTGCAATGCGAGAAAGTCGTTTTTTTAATTCTCAAGATAATGTGCAACTGAAACGGTTGGCAAATTTTGGAACTTCTGACTGTTGGTTAAATTTAAAATTAGAATCTGCTATTCGCATATTATGTCGTCTGCGGCATACCTGTTTGCCTTCAGCGATGAGTGCAGAAAAACACCCGAATTCTTCAACCCAAAGGAATAGGACACAAATGGTTTATCGAGACAAATATCTCATACAGACAGTCAAGCAGGACATGCCAAGTTTCATGGAACTCGCTGTATTATAGCGAATAGATCCTCCTTTTAACAGTAATGCCATCAATCAGAAACGTGTTGGTTTTGACAGACAATAAATTTAGATGAATGCAATAACTTTATTTTGCATATCGCTTTTAGATAACTGTAATTACTACGGTTTTGCTGTTTTTGTCGCATGAAACTAATCCAATACTTTTGTTTTTCATGAAAAAAATGAAGAATAAAGGAAATGAGGAAAAAGGCGTGAAGATTGGAGCGAAGGTGAGAAGAGTAAGAGTAATTGGAAAGCACATGAAATGAAAGAAAACAATTGGAATGGAGAGAAAGAAAACAGAGAGAAAAAATATAGACAATGAAATGGAAGAAACATATCAAAACGAAAAAGGAACTTAATACAATGAATGGAAAGTAAAGGATTGAGTGAATGAGTAATAAAATGAAATGCAACTATTTTGCCATCAAAATTGTGTTCCCAATTTGTGCCTTTAGCCGGCTTTGCTCATACCATATTATGTCATGACAGACATGATATGAGGGAATACGACAAAAAATATTTGGAACTCCTAACAGTACCTCACAGAGATTTAACAGCGCATCTCTCCCTGGCAATTGCTCCAACTTCTGATTCGATATCACCAAGTTTAGTGCTGGTATGATGGAGACCATCAGTGAAATGTTTGCTCTTATTGCTGCGATAGACTGGAAGGTCTTCGGTGAGCCACAGATGAGATGTTGAAATAGAGGGTATTACTACTTTATATACTAATAGCACCATTTCTAAAACTTCTGTATAAATGGACTTCCGGAAGGAGCTATATTGTGACATTTTGGCATTTACATATTTCTGGTCTGCGTTGGTTCATAGCGACTATTAAACGGATTGAAGAGAACTGCAGGTCTGACGCACAGTTGCAAATCTCACAAGCTGTGACATCAACACATCAAATACTCGGCAATGCATGTTTCCGCTGGTTGGTGGCTACTCGCTACTCGTTAACTTTTCTGTTGTACCGAAGCAATGTGAGGTGATTTCCTCCTTCAATAAAACCTACAAGTACCATTATCATCAAACATGTTCAATCTGCTGCCGGGTGAAGGCCTGTGGAAGAATTTGCCACAAAATCCTTTCTTCTGCAATTCTTGTTCGGGCAGCTCGAACAAATTTTTTCAACTCATTCTATTAGCGGTCTTGAGGTCTTCCCTAGAGCTATTTGTCGTGTCTTGACTCCAAATCTAACGTCGTTCTTGTCTGGCAGTGGTCTGTTCACTTTAGACCTTGTCCTATTCATTGCCGTATCAACTTGTTTCCTCTTGCATCTACATCAAAGACATTCATTTGTTCTCTAACTCATTCGTTTCTTCCCTTTCCATCTTGTTGCTCCCAACATTTGCATTTCCATGCTACGTTGCGAGGTCTGTAGATTATGAACAGCATTCATGTTGGCGGTCCATGCTTCACATCCATGCGCTAGTGAATGCTGATAGGAAAACTTCCGTTTCGATGACAAGTACAGTTTTTGAGGCCAAAACTATATTTTCGCTCGTTTTAAAATGCTCCGTGCCATTTTTAGTCTTATTTTAATTTTGCAGTGTTTGTTCACAGTTGCGTGGATCAGATAGCTCAGATAAACTAGTTTCTTGCATGTATTCAAGCCAAAATTCACTGATTTTCCCAAGTTATGAAATGACACGTTTATCAAAGATGATCTGAGTGTTCCTGAGTTTCATTTCCAATCCAGCATTGATGCTGGAGTCGTTCAGCTCTTAGATTCTTCTCTGCAGTTCTGCTAAATACCACAAAATCAAAATACCATTGACAAGCCGCAGATGGCTGGTAAAATCTTAATCTATCTTCGGTCCTCCTTATTTTCTCAATGTATTATTTGTAAAACTTTTTTGTAATGCTATGAACAGTCATTGATTCGGCATTGCCCTGTCAGGTTTCTTTTTCGATTTTGAATTTGTTCGTATTTCGTGGAGCGTTATACTATCCGTGGCACTCTTGCAACTATGGCGATGACGTGTCTACTTCTTTAATCGAATACAAATTAGGCTTGAAGTAAACCGCAGGTTTCGCGGGAATCGGTGAATTCCCATACAGATGGAAGGCTCTTATTCGTTGCTAGTCTGAGTCATTTATGTTCCACTGAAGATGACCAATCATACCAAACCCATATCTGAATTTTGCTTGCTCCTCTATTCGTTTGTAAATACTTTCCTGAGAATCTGTTAGATAATCAGCAACAGTCCCATTGGTCTGTAAGTCTTTTGATCTTGCCTGCCTCCTTTGTGTAAAGTGGAATCACTGATACGGTGATCCAATCATCTTGAATTTATGCATCGTAAAATCAACGTAAAACCAAATTCACATACATCTTTGACAGTACTTTGTCTGCCAGTTCAATGAGTTCTACTGTGATTTCATCTACTCCTGGAGCCCTACCTTTCTTCCGGAACTAGCTTTCATACTCAGAATTAATTTGCACTATATTGTCCTTTGAATTTGGCATTTTAAAAAATAAAGCAAACGAATAGCCCACTGCGTCACTGCTCCCTTCAACCCACATACACATTAATGCCTAAAGGCAGACGGCGAATTATTGGTCTTCCATTTGCAGAAGGAGAAAAAACGGAATGTCTTATTGCATTAGTCACGGATTCACCTTCGAAATTCAGATACCTGTGAATTACTCGGTTACAGGCCAGTTTCAACCATTGTTTTTGGGAAAGTATTTTGCACGTGCTTGGAATATGGCTTCATTAATTATGAGCATTGGGTTTGCCTTATTTCTCCTCTGAGACAGTCATTATCTCGCAACTAAGCTGTTTTCTCACAATATTTGTTTAGACATCTGGCGATTGTTGCACCAATCAGCACTGGAAAACAGTCACCGTCTTTAATAGTCAATCAACGGTCACATGAATATTTTCATTCATGAAGCAGAGCATTATTCCAGAGCATCATACAGTTGATCGTAGCTTTGTTCCAAGCTAGTCTCTGAAGTGCGACCGCCGCTTTCATCTGGTACATTTGCTGATGACGGAGGTACCTCAGTCGGCACGTACGGCGGAGATGGTAAAGTTTCGAGAGGCTCGAGCTGTTCAGCATTGTTTGGATCTGGCAATCGTGGAATGTATACTTCGCTGACCCCACAGTCAGTTGGGCAATAGTGAGCAGGGTTGCCAGGGTAGCCTGATGGACCTACTTGCCCTGGTGATCCATGCGGTCCTGCGAATACCAACATAGCAGAAATATGAATACATAAGTTATGTACCTGGTCGACCTTTGAGTCCCTTTGTTCCCATTTTTCCAGGAATTCCCGGTGGTCCCGCTATATTAGAATGCCGTCCAGGGATGCCTACAAATAATAGCTAGTAGCGCATGAAAATATGCCTAAATTGAGTAAATACTCACCTGGCATACCTCTAGGTCCAGGCGGACCTGAAAATGTGAAAGCGATTAAAACTACAAAACTCTGGTGTATACATTACCTGGCAAACCCTTTTGACCTGTCGTTCCAGTTCCAACATAACTTGGAGGGCCGGGTAATCCAACAAAGCCAAGAGGCCCAGATTTTCCAACTGAACCAATTGGGCCTACTATGCCTGGTGGTCCATCCAATCCATCACAACCCGGTAAACCAGGTGGTCCCGGATATCCTTTACGACCTTGAAGTCCTCTCTCGCCCTTAATTAAAATGAAAATAATAGCTTTTAGCCACGAATAAGATTTTACCTGATATCCCCTCGGTCCCGGAGGGCCTGCTGGACAAAGAACACAAGGTGAGTCTGGCGCTGGAGGAAAAGCAATGTCAGGCGCATCCTTCCCTCCTTTCCCTGGAGCACCGGCGTCTGCCGGCAGCCCATTTTTGCCTGGAAAGTTTTATGCTC